GCTTTGATCCTCGGTAATAATGCACTGACAGTCGTTAGTGCAGTGGGATGCTCCGTGAGGAGGGACAGCAGTGTATCACAGGATTACACGATTTGCTGTTGGCTTTAACCCTTTGAGGGCTGGCCACTATTTCTGTTCTGAACAAAAATTCCAACCAAATTCACATGGAATATTCTGTTGTGCTTAGTGTCTTGTTATTGCTTTCTCAAGTGTGGCTTTGGAGAAAGGATTTTGCTGACAAAGAATCCATTGAGGAGAAAGCTCATCAACCATGCATTGAAACATTTTGCTTCCATGAAATGTCAATGAATCCTCTCCCACGAGTGAACTATGTAGACCTTGAAGCACCATTTGAATGTAATATTATATGGTGTGAATCTGTTATATGGGTGTTGTCCATTTGTTATTTATGTGGTTGAATATCACTTTGCTTTGATGGTGTTTTGAATTCTAAAGACCTTTGAAATTGTTGTTTACTTTCCAGTTATGTTTGTCCATCTACCTTGTATAAGTGTAAAATTAGTGTGAAATTGTGTGGTCTTCCATAGAATGAACAACACCTGTCAAGTTATAGATCTTGGTTTTAGTGCCTGTAGTTTTAGGAAGACAGTTTTTGCACTTCAAGATGAGAAGGGGTGAAGTTAGATTTTTTTTGTGCAATATATTTTTAATAGGAAACTGGAATTGAAATTTCATGCATAATGTACATCCCACATCTCAAATGCAGTGAAATGGTTCCTGTTCTAATTACCCTATCATGACGAAACAATATCAAGTTCACTTTTCTTTAAACTGCTAATACAATAGTCTGTACTGCCACTGTATGACTGTCATCAACCCTTGTAAAGCAAGATCAGAATGGGACTTTTGATAGAGCAGGAGTCAACTGGGTACAGAGTTATAACAGGTCATGAGAGTTCTATGTGGATTTTACAGTCATAATTTCATGATTTTACTAAAATTCTCATTGATTTTCTTCCTCCACGTTTCACTTACAGAAGCTGAGTTACATCTGAAGTCTCGATTCAAACAAAATTAAGTACAGAATGAAAGTTAATTTAACGCTGTCCCTGACCTCCATTATTCAAACTTTGATAGCACTCTGTGCTGCTGAAAGAACAGTTGGAGAGCTGAAGACATCTGACAGGAGAAACTATTGGGCCATTTTTTCTCCCCTGCTAGATTATTCTCATTTGAACTCCTTTTCCCGGCTCCTCGGAACTTTTATTTTACTCCCTTTCTTGACTGACTTCGCAAATTGCAGCAGCCTCGATTGCAGAAAATAAATTCTTATAGCTTTGAATTAACATCGAGGCAATTGGCAAGCTAGTGCTGGAGATGAGCGGCTTCCTCTGAAGTATGTATGCCAAACTTAAATGAATCATCATTGAGAGAAAATGTAGAATTGCTTAAGGTTGCCCTTCATTGTCTCTGCAAAAGCATCTCTTTGGGGGTCCAGAAATGTTTGGTGTTTTAACGGTGAACAGTTTAACTACATAAAGCTGAATTGGACAGGGGAGTAACACAAGTTACAAAGTATGTTAATCATTGTTTTTGTGCACTGAGAATTTCCTTCCCCTAGAGGCTGTTTTGTTTTGCTTTAGATTAAGGAGCATGTTATCGTTGCAAGCTGTCTGAAATATTTTTGAAGTTAATGGGGTTTTTTTATACGTTTCATTTCCTAATATCCTTTCATTATACCAACTAATTGAATAATGAGACTGGTGGATTGTTGAGGAGAGAATTCTTCTTTCTACAACTTTGGAACTGTGCCGTACAAGGCAGTGGAAGCAGGTTAATTGAATGTTTTTAAGTTGGAGGTTAATAAATTTTTATTCAGCAAAGGAATCAAAAGTCATCAGAGGAAATGTGGAATTCAAAACAAAAACAGATCAGCCAGAATCTTATTTAATAGCAGAGCAGATGTGAGCCCTGAATAGCCTAGTACTACCTATTTCATAAGATCGTATATTCCACCAATTAGTGATAATTAAAAGACAACTTCCTTTATTCTCTTGTGTATCTGATACAAAACAATATTACTGGTCAAACTGTCTGACTCTGTAATTGAATTAATGAGCGCTCGGTCAGTCCCTCTATGGCTTATCTGGCACTGAGCAGCATTGAAGTGGAGTGCCACTACCTCACTACTGCATTTTTGACTTTACTTTTTTTTTTCTGCTGCTCCACTTAATGATACTTGTAGACTTGTGATACCCCATTGGTCAAAAACATTTTACATTTTAACTGAAAACCTGATGACTGTGCAGCCTTCAGAACTGTGGGGGTAACTCAAATCCAGTGTTGTTTGTCATAGACAGTCATTGACTGCACTAAAACTTTTAAGTAATGCAGAACTCAGATGAGGTGTGTAATTTGTTAACCATTTAAAGTATGTGTCCTCTCCCCTGCCCTGTTGCTTGGCTAGAGTGTAGTACTAATTGTCAAGTTATCACAGAAGTCCATAGCCTAATTACAAGTATGTGCCCAAAACTGGGGACCCCGGCCGTGTTCTTCACTGTCACAGCTAGCAAATACTGACCTGAACCTTTCTATTAAGGTGATTAAACAGCTAATTATTTTCTAGCCTGGCATCTAGGATGATTTTCGGTATTCAAGAATGACAATAAGGAGCTTTTGTGGTGTAGTGGTAACACTCCAACCTCTGGAGCAAGAGGCCTAGGTTCAAGTCCCATCTACTGCAGAGGTGTGTAATAATATCTGTGAACAGGTTGATTTTAAAAAATATCTACAAGAGGAACTACACATGAAGATGCATGTCAAGTATGTTTTCATAAGACCAAAAGAAGCAGTAATAGGAGTAGTAGGCTGTTCAGTCCCTCGAGCTTGATCTGCCATGCAATATGTTTGATTATGGCTTATCCAACATTCATCACATCCACTTTCTCCCCCTTTTCCCCTTAAATACCCTACTGATCAAGAATCTATCTATCTCACCATTAAATATACACAAGAGCTATGTCCCCGCAGTTCTCTTTGGTAAGGAGTTCCAAAGATACTCAATCCTCAGAGAAGCGGTTCCTTCCCATCTCAGTCTTAAATTGGCTGCCCTTTTATTCTGAGACTATAATCTCTAGTCCTAGATCCTTCCATAAGGAGCAGTGCAGCATTTCAATTTTTACACTGTCAAGTCCCTTAAGAATCCTATATGTTTCAATGATATCATCTCTCATTCTTCTGAGCTCCATGCATGGTTTCAAATGAAAGAGTACACAAAATATTGTTGAGTGCTGGTGTTTTGAATATTATCACTCCTGCATGTGATACTGTATGAAGGCTTCAGCTTTTCTATATTAATTATAGTAATAATTAGAAACAGAAGATAGCATGAAACCCAATCCAATAGACAGTGGTACTCTTCTCAGGGTTTCCCATTGCGCTGATTGGACTAGTGTCCTCGGTTCCTGATTAGGAATCCCTGATCAGGAACTGTACATTTTTTTAAAAGTACTGTGTAAATTTTAAGATGCAGTAAAGCTGGCTAATAATTTTACTTGCCATTTGAAATTGTAATATATAAACCTCTTGGAAACGATCACTCTGGTTAGAGAATGTTTTAATTGTACCAGTGTATTCTCCAGCTTCTTAAATTGGATGCTTTTCTCTGTAGGGAAAAAAAAAATCCTAAGTCTTACAAATATTTCAGTGTTTCAGTTGTATGCAGTGTTGTATGTTCCCTAATAATGTTCTCCAGAAGACAGTCTGCAAAGGTCAGGACTAAAGGAATCCCATCTCTTTGAATGTACAAAAAAAGGTTTTATCCTATGGTGACTCCCTGTGATGGGTCAGAGAGCTAAGCACTTCCTACATCATTCTTTTCCGTGGATGATCAGGGTAACTATTGATTAAGTACTAGCCCTTTATTTGTCAGTTCAATAACCAGAATGTTTTAGGGAGCATGGGGTCCTTGCTTTGTTACAAAGCATTCGTGCAAAATTACAACTACATTCCTTTGGTGAGCATTCTTTGTCAATCTCATCAGTTTAAAGTGTATGAAATCATCAATTAAATCACATGCTAGAATGGCAGCTAGAAATATACAAGGCTAGCAAAGACATTTTGAAAATATGAACTGAAGCAATTATTTAAGTCATTGTACTCTGCAACTGATGAACTCCACATAACATAATAAATGAGTTTGGCTTGTGTTGCTTATATCACATACAACCCCTCTGAAGAGAGACAAAGTATTTATTTAACAAAACTACATGGTAACATTTAACAGACAACTACTTTCCCAATGTTTTTAAAGCATTGGGTACCACACAAAGCAAATGATTCAACAGAGATCCACCTACTCTGAGCATAACCTATTGTCCATCTACATATCAACAAATCATTTCCAAATAGAAAATAAATTGTTTTCTTTAAAAGCTTCAGATTAGCGTGCCTGTTTAATTTCATTCTCTCCCATTTGGTGAGTGTAAATGCTACTTACCAATGGTTGTATTGCTGTCTTTAAAAAGTGAGATTTTTCAAAGTATTTAAGATGGATAAATAAAGGATACAAGTGAATACTTGAGTTCCACACCATTTTTTTAATTTGAAAATGCAGCTTGGAAATTTATTCTGCCAATATTCTTATTTCTTTTTATGGGGCAAAATATGTAACTGCAACTTTTTAAATCTTTAAGATTTGGTAATTATATAATAAAGAAGCATGACTTGATCTCTGGGAACATTTATGGAATGTTAATATAACGTGTATTGCAACAACTTTTAGTGTAAATATTTGCTGCTTCATTTTTGCTCCAGATGTAGAATTTATGAAAATCAAATTTGTAAATTATTAGGCTACTTTGAATTGATGCTACTCTAGAGAGATTGAGACATGGAACGTATCTCCATGTAATCCAGAATTTTTTTCATTTCCTGCTGCACAATGCTAAAGTAGCATGATGACTACTTTATTGTCTAAACTCACACATGATTCTTGTTCTATGCAATTGCTCCTTTCAGTATTTGTCTTCCTTTCTCAGGTCTGGCTTAGATGGACATTTGTTCGTTAAGAGCAAAGTGGCTTCGTTGCTGCAGTCTGAATATTCAAATGGATTTGGAGAAAATTTTTATAAGGTAAAGAAGAAGCAAAAACCTCTAAAAAACCGCAGACCACAGTCAGAAAACATCTGAAGCAACTGCAAACATCTGGGGGTACGTTGTCAAGCGTGATGCTGTTAACCCAGGTCAAGTGACGTCAAAATGAAGTGAACAGCCCTGAGCTGAGTCCAGCAAATTCCTGAATCATCACTCTTATCTCAGTCCTGAACTGCTGTTGTGTCTTTTCAAATTGTGCTTATAAAAGAGAGAAAATTTACTTGTAACTTATTGCATGGAGATGAAAAAATGATTTGAATTAATTTCACAGAAGGTGCTTTGTACCACTTAAAGCAAATACGTCCTCCAGTCTCCTCCCATATCAGATACAAACCCAGGTCCTGAAGGCGTAACTTTAGTATTGTAATAAATTATGATGTGCAGCTGCACATTGGAGAAGGGGAAAAATGCTTCATTTCATCTGTCTGCTTGGGATACAAACCCAGATATCCAAGTTAAGAGGAGCAGTGTTCTACATCCCTACAAGGAAGGTCTGTCTGTTGCAGGACAGAGGAAAAAAGCCATGGTTATAATTTTCTAAATACTGCATCTAAAGCAAAGAATAACAAAATTTACTGATTCCATTATATAATGGATAGCTGTGGAATGCAGAAAGCTAACAAGCTAAATAATCAGATAGCAAAGTTGTGGGTTTGTCCAGTCTGAAGATTTGCACAATCTTGTTTTATTTTTCCTGCATCTTCTTGAACTATCAGTTTGTAGCTCTCTGCTTTGTACTGTGAGGGCTTGCCATGGGTATCCAGGCTGCCTTATATCCAAGGGTTTATAATCTATTAGCTTCCAAATTTTCAGGTCACCCATGCAAGTGGTTTCACCTGCTTCGAGTTACTTCACAGGCAGTTTGAAGGCACCTTTTAACAATATTTGTAATCCAACCTAAAAACATACCATCACCTGTACTGTTATCAATCATTTTACCTAATGTGGTCTGAATTCAAAGGTCGAATCTTTGATTAAAATCAATGCCCTTTATGAAATGTAAAATCAATTGAACTGAGGTTATATAAAAGGATGGGACTGACATTTATTGAAATTCAAGATGTTTTAAGAAATAAATTGGAAATATTTGAATTTATTTCACTTGTCCTGTTTGAATCTTGTATTTTTAAAGATCTGTTCTTTTATCATTTTTAATGTTGATTTGAGTTTCTCTTAGAAGGTTTTCAAATTCATCTGTGCTGTTTCTCCCTGGTTTGTTCTGTTATTTCTCGCTGATAAATGTTATATGGTTTTGAAAATTATTGGGTTAATTTTATAACACATTAAAACAAAAAAAGTGAATTCATCTTCAGGTTTTAATTGGAGCTTGTTGTAAACCTCATCCACTGGAGTGTTTTTTTTGTTCTTTGAGCTGGGTTTTGATAGGTTATAGATTTATTTCTTTTTAAACTTTGTTGTGCCCTTATTTGATTTCATTATTAAGCAATGAGATTAGATGAAACCTCTCATCATCCCCTGGGTTTAAGTCAATCCTTGCAGAATCCTCTCGTTTTGTTGTGCTGCTTTTTTTGTTCTGGGAGAGACTCTGTCCGTCACTTCATTAACCCTGAGTCGGCTAGAATCCTGTCCAAGGCCGGAGGGATTTACCAGACCCTTTCACATGCTAACAAGCGTAGTTAAACAGCGGATTTTCTCGAAATAAATATATTTTAAAAAAAAAACTTCTTGATTTAATCAGCTGCTGTGCACTTAGCCCTAACTCTCTCCTAAGCATTTGGGCAACTTCTTTTGTCTCCTAACCCGTAGAGAACTACAGGAGTCTTTCTTCATCAGTGTAAACACACCGATATATTTTATTATATTTCTGTTCAGTGAATATAGCAAGCGCCGTACACAGCTCAGATCTTCCACATTAGAAAGGGAGCGTTTTCATTTTGAATTGTAGATGATTGAATGTCGATTCTGAAGGTTTTGAAAGATATGAAAGGACCAAACTGCCCTCCTTTCTCGAGCCTTTTTTGTTGTGTTTTCTTTCAAGCGATGCCTGTTTCCTTTTTCCCCTAATCATTCCATTTGAGCCTGGTTTTATTCATCAACGCATCAAAGCCGGCAGCAGTGTGTACTCAAGCCAGCGGCTGAAATGTGACTTTGTTGCAGAAATTTAAATCGGGAACAGGTACGTCTTGTTCCATTGACTCAATCTCCCAGGGGTATGGTCTGTAAAGTATCGAATAACCGAAATGTGTCCGAATGAAGAATAAGTCAGTGCTTTTCCACAAGTTGTGAAGCCCCGTTTTGTACGCAGGTGTGTCCTGGGCGGACGCGGGTTCCTTACAAAGCGCAGAGGACATTGTCAGAAAACACCGAGAACAGATTCTCAGTATGATTTCGAACCAGAGATAAGGCTGTGTTATTCCCTGTAATGTACACAGGCAGTACATGTAAGGGTGTGAGATGGCTCACTTTTCGGTGGCCAGGATGGAATGGCTACAATTTGACAGCAGCTTCCTGCCACTGACTTGCGTGACCTGAATCCAGCAGCCTCGATGCCAACTGCTACGGTGCCGGTTTACATTTAACCGGCTGTCCCCGAGGAATAACTCAGCAGCTTACCCCCTCTGCAAAGGGCACAGGCAGGAGGCTCCAACATAAAGACCTGAATCAGGTTAGAGCCAAACAACAACCAGGAGAATTGTCCAGATCAAGGTGACCACGCACCACAGAGCCTGAATGTACCTGCCCTCTCCTGAATACATTTAATCACGTGTCTGTGTTTTATTTAATATTAACATAACAGTGAGCTATCAATGAACTTTTGTTTTCAATTCGAGTTACTGCGCTGTTTCCAGTATTCCCTCCGGTGGACCAGGTTCAGTTCCTTGAACTTTGAATAGATCTGATGCGTGGGCTTTGGTTGGAGAGAGGGGAGTAACGGATGTGCAAATTTTACAAAATTGTTACAATTCACGGACTGGCCAAACATGCGGTCGGTGATTTACTGGGGAAATATAATGTTGTTTTGCAAGGCTCAGTACCGCACACTCAAGACAGCACTTATCCAAACACCGCCAGTGATGACACTTCCTATTTAAGACGAAACCTCCTTATTGCTGTAGTCTTTTATCAAATCGGGTAACTTTGTTCAAGTGTACATCCACTTTGTACATCAGCCCGTGCCTTTAGCACACCGAAGTTAACGGTACTCCGCAGTGTGGAATATCAGTGTCATTGGAGATATGACTGGTGGCATCAAAATGTCGTTCACTGGTTAAAAATTTCACTTAGAACTAGCAGTGTAAATTAAAAGGGAAAGTCACTCTTTGAACATCGCGTTGCCGTAGGGACACAGTGCCTGTTGTCCGCTCTATTCTTCCAGCACGCTGATATTTAAACAGTATTGTCTCCCCTAACTTCGAATCCTGTACTTTCGTTAGCAGTGACCCAGTGAACAGTACGTTGCTAGTCTGAGCTGTTTTTGATGCTGACACGTTCGGATTAGGGGCCGTCTATTGTATTTTGGACTCCTACCTAATAATGATGCTGATATAATTTCATTGTTCATTGTAAGGTGATCATTAGAAAATGCTAATTATCACAGAGCCATTTCTTTAAAGAAAAAATGTGTATTTGAAATACCTGGATAACTTTAATAGTTGGTGATTTTATTGTAATTCTTATTAAAGAAATAGATTAGAAATTCTGCTCATCATCAGCCTGTTTCGAGTCTAGAGCAAGGAATAGTTTTTTTTCTTCATTTTCTATCTTAATTAGATTAATCATTCCTTTCAATCAACTCCATTTCCAGATTGAGAGTAAATTGGTAACTGCTCCACCCCGTTTTGTGTATATAAAAGAAACTAAGGCTTGAAATCAGGCAGCGGGTTGTTAACCGCGTTAGTCTGAAAGCCCCTTTCTCTCTTATTCTGACTCTCTCGTTTTAACAGGAGTGACGACTCAGTTATTACAAATATGGAGGAGAAAAAGATTTCAGACCAGCCAGGATAGTGTCCAACACTGTCACTTCAGAGCGCTGATATAATTCAAGGTATAATGCTGGTACTAGTTCATATTAATCCGAGTTGAATCCAGGGTCTTTACTTTGAGGCTGAGCTAGGCCACAACATACTCTCAGGTTACAGTAGTTACAGCTGGTGTAAAGGGTGCACCTCGCTGACCACATTAAATTGGCTTCACGATGTGGGCTTTCAACTCCAGAGTGACGTCTGAATGGACACTCTTTCGCGTAAACGATTGTTCAAAAGCCTGAAAGGTTCTAACTCAACCCATCCTGAGTTTATACCACAGTGAGTCTGTTGACAGCTGGCAGACTTGGGACGGAAACGAATGTATTGCCATCACGTTGTTCTACAAATATATCCCAGCTCACTGTGGTCAGAATTAAATGCGGAAAATACAGCAGATATAATTGTACGAATTACCCTTTAATAAACTGAATACAACCGCCATCTAATCAGCTGCGGAAGAAGACACCAATGAATATTTATAGTATGTACATGCCATGAAATACAACACCGTTGACAAACTGTGTGCTATGTTTCATCAATTCAATGAGAGCTATGTAGCACTCGATAGTAGAAATGATCAAACACTATCTGGTTTGATTTTTCTAAGCTTGCTTACGACTCCCTCATCAGGCATACTACAGCCTTCGAATTCTCCAGAAATATTGCACTTTATGCGTTAAGTATATTCTGAAGATCCTAACCTGACAGCGAAAAGCCCTTTGGCGATGGGGTTGGTAATTATAGTTTATGTTTCCAAACCTTCTATTGAGAAGCGACACCTTCATTGTAATAACAAGGTTCTCACAAGCTTGTCCCGGAGTGGTGTCTCTCGTTTTCTTACTCACTAACGACTGTAAAAAAAACATAATTTGACCGACGAAACGTCACGTTTTGTCCAGGATTGCAACTATGTCAAGAAAGAAAACTTACCTTTGTTAAAACCAAAATTTCCAAACACATCAAGAAATTAAGCTTTTAAAACGGAGAATTCTGGTTTTATTAATATCACAGATTTATGGAGAGAGTGACAAGTGACCTCGATTCTTATTTAAACATTAAATCAAATGTTATTTCTAGTTTTGATTTTGCAATTAATTCATTCTGGTATTTATTGTAATTAAGAGATTTGTTACATTTTCATTCATTTTTATAAATATTTTAGTGTCTAAATTCAATAACAGAATTTTTTTTATTTATGAAGTTTATAAAATTGTTATATTTTGGGACTACAGCTTTAAACATAGGACAGATGAAGGAGGTCGTGTGACCTGTTCTGCAGTTTCGCGAACAGCAAACCTGGGCAGTTTGGATGTTTGAATAACAAAGGGAAATTGCTTAAATTGTTTTGCTGGGAAGAAGATGCAATATATTTATTCTTGGAGACAATGGCAGCAATCTCTGACTTTACAATGAATAGACGGGATTTCTCAAAACCAAGAAAACTGCTGAAAATACCCGGGTATAAATAGTTGCGCTGTTACCTGTCAATTTATATCTAAAATAGAAAGAAATTAAGGTCAAAAAATAGCTAATTAGCATTGCTGCATGGGTGTCTTTCACTTTGCCATAGCAGAAGGAAGAGAAGACCATCTTTTTTTGAGATCAGGTTATAGACTTCCATACAAATTAATGAACTTCACACAAGCGGACCAGAGGTTTTATGTGATCGGCAGCAGAGAGAAACTGCTGCTTGGTTTTGTGATCCACCGCCGCTAGATGCAGGAAGGAAATGTATCCAGTTACAGAGATACATCTTGCAGCCATCTAAGGATTACTGGAGATTTGTCCTAAATGGGAGAGCGGGGGGGGAAAGAATCCTCAGAACAGGCTTTACTTATGATTTTGGATTTAAGAACTCTGCAAAAACAAAGTGCCTTAAATTTACAACGCAACGAAATCGGGGTATGGGAAACCATTGGAAGTTGGGGACAACTATGCGATGCTAGTATAAAACGTTCAATCAAATAATGACGCATTTTAAAACATTTTCGCTCCCTGCTGAAATGGTAACAATGTAATTCCCCAATTATTGTGATAACATGATTTTAACACATCGGCTGCCAAAGTTAGAACAGTCTTTTTTTATGATGCAAAATGTATCAAAGCAAATAATCTCAGGAACTATTTGCAATACACAAAGAAAACTGAACATTGCCCGGTCCCTCCAACACAGCTAAACTCGCATTCTCGAGCATCTGATTCTAAGAACCCTCGTTCATGCCTTATTATAACCGGGTGCCAATGGAAATTAGTTGCACCGAAACAAGGATATCTGGACATGTATTGGATGATCACCTGCTCTCGCCAACTACAAGAAGCAGTCCGATGGACTTTTATCGCTTGTGGTACTGTTATGTGTCAGTGATTGCATTACTGGGAACTGTCAGTTCCTGTTTCCAGTAAGCTAAAGGCATTCAAAATTCGTAATTGCGAACCCTTCTTACAACAAACACTTCCGCTAGTCCCCACAAATAACCTAGCTTGACCCATTAAGGGCAGAAACTAGGAAATGCAACATCTTGAGAAAGGATAATTACTGTTTCTCAAATTGTTACATAAAATACCCAAACCCCAACATGTACAAGACCATAAACCGCTGTCGCTGCGCTTTTGTGGCACAGTGGTAGTGTCCCTAGCTCTGGGTCAGCAGGCCTGGATTCAAGTCCTACCTGTCCCCGGAGGTGTACCTAACCTATCCGAACCGGTTAATTATAAATACTTGTAAACTGCATTAGGACTTAAACTCCCAAATTTTACCGTCAACACTGAATACTTTCTCCAAGAATTATTTATACACATTTGATAATGGCGAGGTTTCGTTAACATTAAAATAAAAATCAGGGTGTTAATTTTCACATCATATGGGCTCCGTAGAGGCTTGGATAATAGTTGTCACGACATTTTCATTAGCTCAATTTGGTTTAAGTGGTAGTGGGCTCCCACGCCGCCCCCTCCCAACACACACACACACACACAAAACTACAACTGGGCAAGAGTCTTATGGTAACTCTAGATGTGATGATAGCTGTACTGTACAAGTACTTCCAAGCCCCAAGATTCCATTTGCTCCATCTTTTTCCTGCATCGGTTATTGATCTCCGTTCGGGTTTCCCCCTGCCCAGGATGGGACATAGCCTCCCTGCACAGGGAAAAAACAACGGAAACAAAACAGAGCTCAGACTTTTCACCTGCACATCCTGTCAGCAAAGAATGATCAAAAAGTAAGGACCGGGGGGAAATAACCAAAAAGGAGCCGATATCAAGGCTGTTCAGCCTCAGTCCCCATCGAAACGAGTGACATATGCCTTGAAACAAAAACAGAAGATGCTGGAGAAGAGAAATCAGAGTTAATGTTTCGGGTCCGGTGAAACGTTAATTCTGATTTCTCTTCACAGATGCTGCTAGACCTACTGAGCTATTTCCAGCAACTTCTGTTTTTGTTTCTGATTTACAGCATCCACAGTTCTTTCGATTTTTATTTTATATCTTGGTTGTTTTAATTCTACTCAATTTCTAACGGTCGTTACCAGTTCGAAGGCTCCTAGGATTGAAGGTACACACCTGAGTTTTTTTTTCAGTTTTTTTTTAATAAATCAGAGCGAATCCTTTATTGACCCATATATAATTTTCTTAAAAAATGAATGGAATTGCATTGGACGTTCTGTCATGATTTGTATTTCAGTATTTTACAAATGACAGTGTAAACAAAAACAGAGACTTCAACGGGAAAAGAAACCACTAATTTGGGAAAGCCTGCAAAACAAATACAAAAAAGTCCTGACAAACTATTGATAGAAAAAGACTCGATGCTTAGAAACGGAACGTGAACCTCGGACCCCAGCTCTTTCTCTGCGTTAAGCGGAATACTGATGTGTGACTGACGCGTTGTTGGCAGCTACAGGAATTTGCATTGAAAAGCACCGTTCTAAAGGACAGACATTCAATTTAAGCAACAATCCATCACTTTTTTTCTGGCTAAAGATTAGCTTTGAATAGCCAGGTTGGAGGGCGTGCGGTGGAAACGGGCGATGTAATCATTGCTGTAAATATTTTAAGATCTGTAATTGAAAGGGGAGTGGGGATGTGTTCAATTAACAGCAATTTCCAAGCAAAAGCACTCGGCTATATACGGACGAAGGGGTGTAGATAGAACTAGGTTTGGATGTGCTTTAGAATTTTGTCAAATTGTTTTCAACTTGCTATTGCTGACTTGTTGAATTTTGGGAAATGGTGTGTGTGTGTGGGTTTGTACTGTCTTTATTCTTTTCTCGTTTTTTTTCTTTCTGTTGCTGTTGCTTTGTTTCTATCTGTTAGAAGCCGAGGACGCCGGAGAATGCCAAGCCACCCTCGCTCCCCATCTGTCAGGCTCCCGGAGCCTGGGTGCCGCTCCCAGGCTGCCGCGCTAACAGCTGCCTGTTCCAACTCCGCTGCTGCTCCAGCTTTCAATAAATAATCAGACTTGTGTTAAAGGGGGTGGGGGGCTTAAGTGGGGGTGGGAATGTGTGTGTATGTGTGGGAAGGGGGCGTGGGGGTTGGGGACCTGGGTAGTGAACTTTTCCGCCTTCAATCTACACCAACTAAAAGTCAAAAGACAACATGAAAACTGGACCAAAAACGTGTGCACGGTTAAAAATCAAGCTGTATGCGTTCACAAAGTATTTACAGTATTTTACAGGGAAAAAAACTCTTGTCGATCATTGTAACTTAGTTTAAAATAAATAAATTGTACAATTTAAATGTCCAGCAACAACAAAAAGTATTTTAAATAGTGCAACATTACCTTAAACCAATTACTGTTTCCTTAACACGAAATTGATTGCTGCTTTTAAAAAAACTATAAATATTTTTAAATGAAAATAATAAACTGTAGGTGCCAAAAGATAAATTGAAACAATTTTAAATTAAAACTATGTTTGTAACACAGTTAAAACCTCTCACTTTTTACACAATAAAAGTTTGAAAATAAAAATAACATAAATAGAGTTGAATACAATCTTCTTTACAAATGGTTTCACATTTTTTTTGTGTTAAATATTGGAGCATGTGTCTGTGTGTGTGTGTGTGAGAGAGAGAGAGAGCGAGAGTGAGATTCCCACTGAAGTCCAAGCGGTGGGGAATAAGGTTGTAAAGGGGCGCCTGGTGAGGGCGGCTCACCGTGGCTGTGGCGGCCGAGGAAGGACACCTGCGAGGCCGGGCAGAGGCGGCGGCTGCTCGCCCCCCGCTGCCAGTCCGTGGATGAGCACCCGCGGGACGAGGGGTCGCTGGATGACGGGGTGAGGAGCGGCAGGACCCCGGTACATGTACATAGCCGTCGGTTCCAGGTTGGAGACGACACTGGGGTGATAGAAGTAAGGAGATGGGAACATACGCTGCAGGGCCGAGTAATTGCCTGCCTCTGCCAAGAGTTCCAGTCCCACTGCCGTCTGTCTTTTCCACTTCGTCCTGTTGGGGAAGGGAATAGAATGAAATCCTCAGGTGTAGTTCAATTTGGATTAAAGCTCGCCTGAGTTTAACACTTCGAATTCCATCGCACGCCACACACAACGAGTATCCAAGATGTACTTTGACAGGTCCCAGTCAGTTTGTTTTCCAACTTTCCTTTAAACCTACAACAATGGCTGGGCCCAGTTTCCCGCAGTGAAGGGTACACAGGGTGCAGCCTTTCATTGGCGAGGGATTGAGGAGCCTGCTGTTTAACCATGGGCTCTCTGGCTATGTCCTTCACTCACCGGGGTCTGTATTTGTTGTAAAGCCGGAATGACCCGAGTTCACTGCACTGGGGGCAGAGTCTCACACCGTCTGGTCAGCGACCTGGGTTGGAAAGGGACTGCAAATTCTTTCTTGTGTTCAACACCAACTCTGTCAGCATTTCCCTGAGATCTCAGCCTGTTGCTGCACACTCGGAATAGCCCCAGGGCCTGGGAAACCATTTTCTAACAGCACAAGACAGGGACAAAGTTTAAGGAGATAACAAGGTGTAGAGCTGGATGAACACAGCAGGCCAAGCAGCAGGAAAGCTGACGTTTCGGGTCTGGACC